AAAAAAAAAAAAAAAAAAAAAAAGCGCAGTTTTCAAATGTTCGGCGAAATGATCCTCTGCTTAAGACTGCTGCTTTGCAAGGAAGTTGTTGACTGGTTCCATGTGTCCCACAGAAAAAAAAAATGGAGCAGTGCCGGAACATTGAGGCAAAGCCAGCCACTGTTTCAGGTAGTATAAAGTAGCAATTTCGTCCAAACGGACATATTATATTTGAACGAAATTGATACCTCATTAATTGGCCCCAATTAGGTCGAAATTTTAGGCTCCAGGGGTCCGGCGTTCTGAAAACGCCCTAGCCCCTGGATGCCAGCTAAGTCCATATACATCCAGGGGGTCCAGCGTTTTTCACGATGCCGTACCCCCTGGACTCCAGCAAAGTCGAGATACATTTAGGGGGTCCGGTGCCCAACTGCCCTGGAAAAAAAAGACCCCTTTTTTGCCGCCGCCTGGGTGCCCCGGCCAGGTCCACCCGGGTTGCCCACCTGGTCGGCCTGGGCTGGGCAAACTCTGGTAGCCCAGGTACCAACAGAGGTTCGTGGCAGTTTAAGCCTTTCTAATAGAGAAAAACCTGACCGACCCTGCTGAATGAAAAAGCTCTCCCCTAAATAAGCCCACAGTTGGCACACAGTCCAAAATGTTGACTCTGAGTCCTGGGCAGAATCGCCCAATATAGTAGCTACTCTCTCTCTCTCTCTCTCTCTCTCTCTCTCTCTCTCTCTCTCTCTCTCTCTCCAGAACGGAAGGAGGGGGGTAGCGGATATGGAGACCAAGAGGAGGAGGAGGAGGAGGAGGAGGAGGAGGAGGAGGAGGAGGGGAAGAAAGAGGAGGAGGAGGAAGATCAGAAGAAGAAGGAGGAGGGGGAGGAGGAGGAGGAGGAGGAGGAGGAGGAAGAAGAGGAGGAAGAAGAAGAAGAAGCTCTCCTCTCTCCCCCTCTCTGATGATATGAACAGATACTGACCACCGAAAGATGGCATCTGGAGCCGATGCAGGTTGCAGACGAAGGCCGGCTCCCAGGCCAGTATGAAGACTGAGCTATGGCACCCACGTGAGTCCTCTAATCACTGCTGCTGCAGACATCCCCCTTTCTCACTCCAGCCTGGTCTCCTGTCTCCTCAAGTGCTCTGCTACCTAGCATAACTCCTGTCACCAACACTTCTCTCCTGCAGCATGTCGTAGAGTAACACTCTCCAACTCTGTGTACTAGACTGGGTGCTGGCCCGAACATATATACCGCTGGGCAAAGTGGAGGTGTGCCCTGGGCTGCATCTGGGGCCGTACGATCCAAATCATGACCGACGGTCCTGGATGCAGGCTCCAATCCTGGTCTACCGTCTTCACCCGAACAGAGCGCCCGGTCATTATAGCTGTATCTGGCACAACTTTCAGCCCAGATACCTTGATAATTACTGCGCGTTCTGTTCGGGTGAAGACGGTAGTCACCTGCATCCCTACCGGCCATCCAGGTAGCCCTGCTGATGCAGCAGAGCAAGTCCAGAAATGGACGAGGACTGGACAAGTCACTACCGGACAAATCTGGTCCAGCCCAGAGGCCTGTGCCTGTTTGGACATATCAAAAATAGAAAAATCCAATCCCAGAACAGACAAAATCAGCACCAGACAAAACTCAATGGAAAAATACTAAAATAGATAACTGTGAAAAAATAACACAAAGGACAGATAAAACTCCTAGTCCTAAAAGAAGGCAAAGAATGCCTGCCTCGGTCCAAAGACCGTACCGTGGGCCTCAGGCCGTCCAAAATGAAGGATAGTCTGGCCTGGGGGCCTACAGGGCCAATGTCGGGACCCTAGGGCCCGGATAGGAGGCCTCATACATGCATGCTGCAAGAAGCCAACACATTACAAGCCCATGGCTGGACTTCTTCCTGCTATCAGATACATTACAGGGTGCCATGCTGAACTCTGGAATTGGCAGGGTACCCTGCCGCAA